ACTCTCAAACCACTGGAGAAGGCACACAACCAAGCATTAGGACTAATTATTGGAGGGATAAAATCAACAACCATTGATGCAATGCTCCTAGTTACAGGAAGCACCACAATATGTTCCCTTATCAAAGAATAGGCCTTGATCCTGTACGAGAAGCTACCGCGCATTCCCATGGATAAGTTCTTCACCACCTATGAGAATAGACCAATACATCTGAAAATGCAATCTGGTCTGATACAGAAAGCCATAGAACTGAAGAAAATCACAAATCAATGACAAACCAAAAAGCCTCCCTCTTCCCATGTGTCTAATACAGAAAGCCATAGAACTGAAGAAAGAATTGCAAATTGATGACAAACTAAAAAGCCTCTCTCTCCCCATGAACCAATTAGCAGACACTGATGTAGTGTGTTGCACCAAACTGCTTGACTTCTTCAGGAAATCAAACAACCATCCAGAGCAAATGCACTCACTGGCCCTTGAGACATCAATGTCAACTATTCTGCAGATCAATGGCTCCAAGTCTTCACTGATGGGTCATATATAGAAAACCAAGCAAACGGTGCAGGTGTCTATTCTGAACTTTTCTCTTTCTACGCACCAGCGGGACACAATAGATCCGCTTTTAAAGGAGAAATAGAGGCCATTGGGATAGCACTATGCCAATTATGTTGCCTAGATACGAAATTCACCAAAGCGGTGATATTTTCGGACTCACAGTCAGCAATAAACTCTATTGGAAACAGAGAGTCACGCAAAACAGCCGAGATGAAGGAAGATAGAAAACTCTATGAGCTGCTGAGAGAGAAAAACAAAACAGTGGTGCAACAATGGATTCCTGGTCACTGTGGCATTAAAGGCAATGAACAATGGATTCCTGGTCACTGTGGCATTAAAGGCAATGAGCTTGCTGACGCACTTGGTAAGAAGGGGACAACGATTTTGAAATGCCTGGACCGGCCGATGTCTTTCCACACAATGAAGGCCTTAATAGAGAGAATTCCAGACCTCAAGGTTCAACGAACTCAAAGCTCAAACAAGGGACAGCCGTTGCTGAGTTTAACTTTGGCCAAGAATCGAAGCCGTTGCTGAGTTTAGACTACGTACCGGACGGATTGCCTGGCAAAACACCTTCAAAGATTGGGAGTATACACTCAACCATCAAAACACCTTCACAGATTGAGAGTATACACTCAACCCACATATACTCTATGTAACCTACAGGAGGAAATGGAGAAGTCCCACCTGTCTATGTGACCTACAGGAGGAAACGGAGAAGACCCACCATATGTAACCTACATGAGGAAATGGAGAAGACCCATCTGATCTGTAACCTACAGGAGGAAATGGAGAAGACCCACCTGATTCATATCCAGCCCTAAAGACAAGTACGGAAAGCCAAAGATACTGGTATACAGGAGGAAATGGAGAAGACCCACCTGATTCGGTGTTCAAAGGAGGAAATGGAGAAGACCCACCTGATTCGGTGTCTAGCGATCAACCCACATGCCCTCTATGTAACCTACAGGAGGAAATCTGGCGAAGCACCTTCACAGATTAGGAGTATACAATCAAAACACCTTCACAGATTGAGAGTATACACTCAACCCACATATACTCTATGTAACCTACAGGAGGAAATGGAGAAGTCCCACCTGTCTATGTGACCTACAGGAGGAAACGGAGAAGACCCACCCCTAGCATACAGGAGGAAATGGAGAAGACCCACCTGATTCGGTGTTCACCAGAGGAGGAAATGGAGAAGACCCACCTGATTCGATGTCCAGCCCTAAAGACAAGTACGGAAAGCCAAAGATACTGGTATACAGGAGGAAATGGAGAAGACCCACCTGATTCGGTGTTCAAAGGAGGAAATGGAGAAGACCCACCTGATTCGGTGTCTAGCGGAGGAAATGGTGATGACCCACCTGATTCGGTGTCCAGCTCTAAAGACAACGCAGACCCACCTGATTCGGTGTCCAGCTCTAAAGACAAGGACGCACCTGATTCGATGTCCAGCTCTAAAGACAACGACGGAAAGTCAGAGAAACTGGGAAGCAAGAAGACGGCTAATGTACTGCTATTAATAAACTGCTATAAATGTACCCCTACCATTGGTGGAAGCTGAAGTCAAAGTTAAAGGGCTAATGATAAATATCATTACCCATGGGGCAAGCTGAAGTCAAAGTTAAAGGGCTAATGATAAATATCATAAAGCCTGCCATTTGAAATAAATAAATAAATTTCAAACCCACAGTTTTATATACAAATGTCAACTAGAATTTTTCATTGATTTCAAATAAGAACAAGCTATTTTATTTAGTTACTGAAGATCCACGTTTGGGATAACATAGCAATACTATGCTATATTCTGGGTGGGAACCATATTCGTGTTTGATAACACGTAATAGCATAGAGGCAGCCTGGATCGCAACGGGGTCAAAATGTAAAATGAAGACATCTAGGAATCTTGTTTGTGACTCAGTAGATTTTATATATGCTATCTCATTCTAGTTACTGACGATAATTGCTTCAAGAATAAGGAATGATAGAGAGACAACTGGTGGTGGATTTTCATTTGAAAATCTAAGGAAATGTACAGAAACGATTAAATAAAACTTTTTCAAAATAAAATAAGATATGACGTATACTGGAATATAATATATATGAAATATTTTCACAGATAGAGAGATAATTGGTTGAATTTATGTAGTGTTAAGTTAAAAATAATTTAATAATATTGTTATTAAAATACTAAGGCATATAAATACTCTGCCTGAGCTTGATATGTTGAAATGATTATGAATGCACTTTTAATAAATTCATTGAACAAAATTATACTGCGTTTAAATATATCTTCAATCACAACGTTGAGCGCCATATTTGTCAGAAAATGAATAAGAGGGCTTTCCTTTGCATTACAGACGGAAGTGGTGAGCAAAGTTCCTTAAGTCTAGCTTTTAGATTCAAAAAATGATCCAAATGCCTGGGCTCTTGCGCGTCCTCGCAAACGTCGAAGTCGATGGTCAAAAGCTGATGAAGATAAAACATATGTTCCTGGAATGCCAACTCAACTTCCTCCTAATCTCACTGCTGAACAGGAAAAGATGTATATTTGTAGGTTAAAACTGTTATTATTACGCACTCTTCCTCTTAAGTACAACTCCAAATTGAGGATTTAACCAGGCGCTTAAAGACGGGCGATCTTGGAATTTCGGCTAACCCTGAGGACAGGTATGAATTGATTAATTTAAAACTTCACTTTCTTATCAAAGTAATTTTAAATAAAGGTCTTTATGTATAGGTCAGCGATAAAATATGGAGCTTAGTTTGGGTAAACTCGTTTTCGTGTATCTAATCTTGTTTTGATAGAGTTCCTATTAGATCAGAGCGGTGGTAGAATTCACGTATACTTAAGGTACGGCCCCTAGTGCATTCTTGATATGCTTTTTGCCGCTTCAGATTTGTTTTCATTCCTTGTTTTCTTTTGTAGATCTCCTTCACCCGAACCAGTGTATAGTAGTGACGGAAAGCGTTTGAATACTCGTGAATACAGGACGCGAAAAACAATGGAAGAGAACAGACATAACTTTATTCAACAAATGCTTGAGCTCAATCCTGAATATAAACCTCCTATCGATTATAGGTATTTTGAAATTTAGTTCACGATGTTGTAGGGCTCCGAATAACAAAATCACTGACAAAATTTTCATACCTCAGGATGATCATCCACACATTAATTTTGTTGGTCTTCTTATTGGTCCACGAGGTAACACACTGAAAGCACTTGAAAAAGAGGTTAGTAATGACTTAAATTGCTTCTTTTCTGCCTTATAAAGCCAGTTATTAATCGGTTGCTTTCCCTAATGAATACGGTAATTGCCGCATAACATTTAAGGTTAGGTATAGAAGTTAAATTAGGTTTGCCTTTTTTCCTACCTATCTTGCTATTTTTCATTCTGGCGATAACACTTAATGAAGATCTTCCAAGCTCTCTTGTAATGTCTTTGTGGATTTCTGAAGGACTGTAACGAGACTTAAATTTACTAGCATCTGCATTAGTAATTTTTAAATTTGTAAGTTTTATTATTTCGAAACGAATATTTTATGCGTGTTAAGTCGAACATATTTTTTTGTTTATTCTAGACTGGCGCGAAAATTATAATTCGCGGCAAAGGGTCTGTTAAAGATGGAAAATTGGTTCGCCGAGATGGAATGCCTATACCTGGAGAAGATGAACCACTTCATGCTTTTATCTCTGCAACCACACCTGAATCTTGCCAGAAGGCTGTAGAAAAGATCGAAAGTATTATTCGTCAGGGTATTGAAGTACCTGAAGGCGAGAATGATTTGCGGAAGGCTCAGCTTCGCGAACTAGCTCTACTGAATGGGACTCTGCGTGAACACGAGGGTCTTGCACGTCTGCGAGCACTCTCTGAGGCACAAAATATTGCCACTAACAAAATTCAGTGTTCGTTATGCTTAGGCTTGGGGCATTTAGCATCAGATTGCAAGTTGCGGGACCCTAATGTATCTGTAGAACAGTTGGGCATTAATCCAACAGAGAGAGCAAAAATGGACAGCGAATACACAGCCCTGATGGCGGAATTGGGAGTCGGTTACAGCACTGGCGGTTCGGGTGCTCCTCATGGAACTGGTATGTTCTTCACCTTTATTAATGACTTTGAGGTTATTTGTTTTTTAGTACAAGAAACGAACCGTTGTGGTGGCCAATTTTCTAGTTACTGATAGACGCATAATTTTTATTCACTGTGCAAAATATGTAGGGTGATGCAAGAGTTGTATCCTTGGCGTTTTATA